ATCTCCAGCTAGACCTTCTTTGTTTGTTAGTACAAGGTCTGGCATTGCACCTCTCCTCGTTGCTGTCTCCACCACCTGAGTCAAGAAATTATCATCAGTGCTCTGCAGGAACCCCTTTGACTGTTTGTGCCTAGCTGTGCTGCCTTCCCAACAGATGTCAGGGTGGTGGAAGTCCCCCATGAGAACCAGGGCCTGTGATCGTGAGGCTACTTCCAGCTGTCTGTAGAAGGCCTCATCGATGACTTCCTCCTGGTCAGGTGGCCTGTAGTAGACCCCCACCACCCTGTCACCCATGTTAGCCTACCCTTTAATCCTTACGCATAGGCTCTCCACTTCCTCTTCATCCACCCCGAGGCAGAGCTCCATACACTCTAGTTGCTCCCTCACATAAAGGGCAACTCCACCACCTCGCCTTCCTGGCCTGTCTTTCCTGAAAAGCACGTAGCCACCCATGACAGCATCCCAGTCATGTGAACTATCCCACCATGTCTCTGTAACTGCAATGAGATCATGGCCCTGCGACCGCACACAGATCTCTAATTCTTCCTGCTTATTCCCCATGGTGTGCGCATTGGTGTCCAGGCATTTCAGAGAAGCAATCGAGCATGCAGGCTTCTCAGGAGGAGTGCAAGAGGATCCTCCATAGCTGTGTCCCGTGCTGTCTCCTCTAGCTGCATGCACCTGCTGGAGGCATCCTGACTTGAGCAGTTTCCCTTTTAAGGAAAGAGGGGAGGGATGAAAGTAACTTGGTCTTTGGTTATGGTTTTCACCTTAAGCTCCTCTAAGCATGGCACAGCTGTGTGCTACGTACACAATGGGGCTGGTAGAGACAATCTGTCCATTCCTATTTTAATTTAATCCTAATACGTGCCAGCATATTTTCACTATTAGTGTGTAGCCATGTTGTTCGTATTTGTGTCACAACTTAATTAATTGTCTGCACGCTTCTCCTGTAAATGACTTTTGGAAACAGTCAGTTTTACCGTGTTCCGTGTTGCAGTCAAGATCTATGTTTGCAAGAGTTTCTGTAAGGGGTGAAGGAGAATCTAGACTGGAAATTTCAACAGAAAACAGATCAAAGCTTGTGAAATTGAGAGCGAGGGAGGGGAAAGCTTTTGGGTTTACTTTTTATCGCTGAAAATTTGCAAAGTCTCTCTAAGTGTAGCTCCTGAACAGTGATGTTAGAATGGCAGGAACTGAAGTTTGATGCTGAAGATGAAAGTTTCTGAGGTCAAGCAGAGATGGGAGCATAACTCATAGCTGTCAAGAAAGTCATAAGGCATATGATATAAAATTAGTAGTCTATACTTGAACCTTGCTGAATTCCTGTGTGCATACAAATGAATAAAGAATAAAACTTTCCAGCCACTTTACCAGGATTAGAGATTGGAAGAGTTCATTGCTCCTAAAAGCATTTGCATGTTTCTCTAATTACTGTAATATACTGTAAAAGCAAAAAGAGGCCTGGGCTGTGGAATTCTACTAATTTCTTTAACTAATTCATTTGATAACATTAAACAATAAAAAATGTAACATGCTTTCTTAATAATTGTCTGTAGGACACCTTAGGTAGGTTAGCTACCGCAGGGAAGTATGTTATAGAAAATCCTAAACTGGAACTAATCATGGCCTTCAGGAGTTACAAGAGTACAATTATTCCTTGAAGAAGTGGTGGAGAAGATGGTACACACAGCAAAAGGCTAAAATGTCTTTTGTGAAGAGTGTTAAAATAAGGTATGCACAAGTAAATCTCCTCCACTTTAAAAACTGTTCAGAAAAATATATATTCAGGATTTTACAAATATTATTTTAATACTGACAGACTT